TTTCGTTTTATCTATTTCTTCATTTAATAATGAAACACTCATCAGGAATCTGCATTACAAAATAAGCACATATCAGAAAGAATTTAAAAATATGAATAAAATTAATGAAAAAGATGAAATGAAATTATATGAGAAAAATGTAAGATAGAAAGTATAAGGTTAAAGAATAGAATCATGACATCTAGTAAGTTCCTTTATGCATTTAAATGATGATTGTTGCGTATATGACGTCGATGTTACATTCGTACACAAGAACAGAGTACTGAATTATTGCTCCTGAAGGTACCTTTTACTGATTGTCAGATTTATCAGTAAAATAATTATTTTTTTAAATAATCAGTTTTATGTCCAAATCTGCTTTGAAATTTTAAGGCAATTGAAATAATGTCGAATTTCATAGCTGTAGGCAATATTTGTTGATTTGAGTTCTTCACACAGTTTTTTGATCGACACTGCTGGATGCCCACCATCCTGATTATCCCAATCGATTGAGCAGTCAGGCACATTAGCAAAACAAAACCATATTGTTTTCAATTTTTTCACTTCCATAATTATATCTTCTAAACATTGCTCGAATTTTGCAAGTTCATTCAGCGACGTTACAAAATATATCTTGATAATCAAATATTCTAAATTCCAACGATGAATATCATTGATTTGCATCAAATATTCGAGAAAATTTGTAAAGATGCTCAACTGTCGAATATTTTCCTTTATGAATGAATCAAATACATTTCTCGATGATGGAAAACGAATTGAATCTAAAATTAAATTTTCACATTTTGGTAATCGATCGAAGCACTATCTTTTCTCTTCATTCAATAAAACACCATTCAGATGAAATGTTATAACACTAGTCAGTGTTACACATGTTTTTATTTCGGTGAGTGATAGTAGTGGATGGATCCATTCTTCCCCAAAATCGATGCCTCAAAGGTTCATCAAGTATACTTGAAATTAGTTTTGGTATTTTTGCTTGAAATAATTGTAGTAAATTGTCATCGATTTTGTATGATTCCATAAGATGAATAGATTCTATATTTGACCATAAATGAGGATGATCTATTAGAGTATTATTATTCGTTGACTTAATCGCATCAAACGAGCAAAAATTGTACATTTCTTTGAAATAAAATGGTAGTGTATGTAAATAATTGTGATAAATGGCTATTGACCATTGATGATCAAACCAAAATTGCATCAACATACATATAAGATTTAATAATTGTGACATATAAATGAAATTGCTTTAGACAAATCCTTGATTTCAATAAATGTTCTTGAAGTTTTTCACGGTTACACATGAAATCTTCATTATTACTTAGTGATTTATGTGCCATATTGATAGATAAACATTTTAATGATGATGAGAATAATTTGATAGTATCTGTCAATCGGATATAATCGGTTTTATCTTCACGCTCAAACGGATAGGATTTATCGAATGTTAAATCTAATTATTTTAATTGAAGTGTTAGCTTAGCTTATTTCACTATTTATCTATTGAATAATTTTCGCACAACCTAGTGAGCATAAGTTTCAAACATTTCAATTTCGGTGTGTATGGAATAGTTGGAAAAATATGATCGAAATCAACTACTGTTAATGATAACGAATGAAAATTAAATGTTAATTGATTTGTATTCATATAATTCATCAACCGGATCTCAAATGGGTGTGATGATGTGGCGAAATATTCGAATGAATCCAGTTTTTTTTGTACCAAAGACGTTTCTATATAAATCCATTGGATACTTACTCATCGTACTCTCGGTTACAAATTTAGGATTCCGCATCTTGCTTAATTTTCAATGAAATTAGTGATTGAAATTGATCACTTCTCACTATGGCATCTGTTATTTTGTAATCAATAAAAAACATTGAAGATATAATAATCGATTTTAAATTTAGAAATAGACGAAGTGGAACCAAGAAATTATCATGGGGAACAATTCATGTTTGAATTTGCAAGCCTATTATTGATAAAGATTCTTCCCAAGATGCTGAAAATGATGTTGGCAATTCGAAACTCTGCAAGACACGATGTTGTTGCATAAATAAATCATTGAACTGTTGATTTAAATTGAAAAATGAATAGATAATATTGTTTGACGATAAATATTGCCATATTTCGAGAATAATTTCATTAGGCAATAGATCGAATCCTGTTTCCAGTTGATATTTATTCATTTTCTTACAATTCAATTGAATGATAATGTGCTACAGATATGATGAAAGAAAGCGATAACTGTTAAAGAATAGAAAATGAGTATATGTAACTATACAATATTGAATTTTACTTCATTTGACTGTCGATGAATAAGATTTTTCAGGATTACAAATGATATGCTTCGTTCGAGAATTGAGCCCATAATATGACTGCTGGTTATCTGGTGTGGGTGTGTGTGTGGGTGTCAATAAAAACAAAATGTGACACACCCACACTCCTACCGAATTTTTATAACACAGTTACTGTATTCAGCAAGTCCATAGGGAGTAAGTTTTTGTTTTTGGGACACCCTGTAGTAACTCGCCATTCTGAATGATTTCAGTTGTAACTCAACTATAGTACTTGATGTTTGTATCGATCAAGGGTGTTGGTGTGGGTGTGTCGGTCTTGATGTTCTCATCATACCCATACCCACACCCAACCATAAGTCTGTACCTCGGATCCAGTGATTTAGAGGTCAAAAAGCTCCGCTTCATTTATAAAGAAGTCATTGGTATCAGTCTACCAGGAATGCTTGAATGAACATCAGTACATACAGGTTCTAAATAAAGCCGTTGAAACTTGTTAAAATGTGATCTATATACGCAGAGTACGATGTTATGTAGTTTTTGTAAAATTTTCATGTTGGTGCTCAATTATTCTTAGACTCGTGAAAGACCAGATCGAAATATCACAAACTCACAGAACAGTCTAGTGCTATAGCAAATGGTCCTTTTCAAAGTATGGATAGAGTAATGATGCCGACTGTTGATTATAACAAAATGAAGAAGAACATTTACAACTGTATTGAATTGAATTTAAAAATTAAATTCGCATAAGTTTATCCTGCAACTTTAACATACTACGATGCATGTGAATATTACATATATTCGCTAAATATTACAACCTATATTTAACACCTGAATAGGTTTACATTTGACTTCTTATGTACAATTCAATGCCTTGCAATTTACTGAACAAATCACCTGCAGTTACCACAAAAATAATAAGTAAGACTTTGTTTTTTGATCGGAGATGATTAAGATAAAGAATTTTTAAAATTTGATGGACATTAAAAAGACTTGCATGTCTTCTAATATTTACACTATGGAAACTAAGATTGTTGACGGAACCTATATAAAATGATAGGTCAATTTTTGAGAATCATATGCATGTTTGTTACGTAAAAGCTATCTGTATGATAGATGAATGTCAGTCTTTCTGTATGTAAAGCTTCCGAAAACAAACCCCAAATAACGTTATTTAATAGAACCAAGAGCGAACAATATTTTCATCATGAAATGGTTTTCAAAGAATATATTCCTGACTGAAATATAGTTATTCAAATAAAAAGCTACCAATTAAAGCTCAAGAAGTATTTATCTCAGTAACTGAAGTTTCAAATATCTTGTTATCAAGCTATAGAAATAAAGAATAAGAAAAAGCAATTTCGGCGTATTTTTTCTTATTTTTCGTTACTATTATGAAGTAATATAATCGTACGTATAAGTTTTGCATATCAAACATGCATTTCTTTTGATATCCACCAAATCTTAAAAAGTCCTTATTTTGGTTATCTTTGACCAAAAACAAAATCATACTAATTATTTTTGCGACAGATGTTTATAATATCTTGATTCAAGATAGGTCGCATATTCCAATTAGTTCGTTTTTATTTTTATTTGAAATAAAATGAGACTTCTAATTTATATTATTCAATTCATTAGTCGGCATAGCAGATAAATCAAGTATCGGTGATGCTTCCTGTCCTGAATATTTCGTTATAATTGCTGTTATTTGTCCACGATGATGAGTAGTATGATTAAATACATGATCTAATGCTTCAGAACGGTTACGTTCAGTCTTATTTCCTTCAGTGTCGAAATATGAAAACGTTTCTTCGGTCATTAAAGATTCAGAATCTAATTGTTCAATATAATCAATCCATCTGTCGCATTCACTTAATACATCATAATAAAGATTTTTACGATCTAAAATAGCTTGTTCCCATTCATTCGCTGAACGTGACCAATAAGAATTGATTTCATACGGATATTTTTCATCATTAAGAGAATAGGATGATGAATTTGCAAGACGAGCATACCAAAGTTTACTTGCTAAAACTATATGAACTAATGTACCATGAATGGAACGAAAATAAAGCCCATTATCAGCATTATACATTTCATTCGATATATATTTATCTAATTTATTATAGAGTTGCTGAAAAGCCCATCGATTATAAATTGCCATACGAATAAAATGTTGCTTGTATGCACTCATTTTACTTTTGTCAATTATTTTTTTGTAGCTGCACTATATATATATTTATTATCAGTCAAGTGTCTATTTATTGCTGAATATCTTTATTAAAACAGCTGTTACCTCAATTTTTTATGGTAAAGAGGCCATTGATGCAATGGGCAATTCAAGGTTACCAATCAATATGATTTATTTGAAATACAAAATACAATGAAAGCATATAATGATTCGAAAAATGAATTTTATTTTTAACAATAATAAGATTTTGTTATTTTTGATAAACTACGACGAGCAAAAAGTTTGAGTTGATTTTGAATTTCAGTCCTATATATATATGGTTCGATAGAGCTCGACAAGCTGGTCACAAATGTGTAGGTTTTATTTCTAAATGACTTGTCTTTGGTAGAAAAAAATAAAAGAACTCAGATAACTTTGAAAAGCTAGTTTGTTAAAAAGGTGAATTTACTTTTTGTTTTCACAGAAATGGACAATTTTCAATTGTGATTATTTTATGAAGCTTTTAAAAGTATTATGTTCTGATTCTACATTAAAAACTGAGTACAAAGATTTATCTTTGAAAAAATGTAAAGTTAACACATTCAAAGGAATATATCCAGCACACTCTGAAAAAAATCGGTATTTAACCGAACCTTAAAAGTTCCACATTTTTGAACCCAAATATTTTCAGTTCCATAAAGCGCACATCGTTTCGTGGTTCTCTTTCAGAACTGTTTTGAGTTCAGCAGATTTGACAGGGTTTCGCAATTTTGCGACAGACCTTTTTGTAAGTTCCGTAAAGTGGTCTGTGGTTTCGTATATCATGTATCAATCCTCTGATAGTTTCGTAGAATCGCACAAGTTTTCGTAACATGCCGGCGGAACCGTTGTTGGTTTCATTCTCTAAAAAAGGTTCCGTCTTTTTTGGGTGTGGCTGTGGTTGTGCGTGTGGGTGTGTGGGGGCGGGTTCTGTTCACGTAAGG